GGTGGTATGATATGACAAGGTAGATCACTTCGACCATTTTCATAATAGCACCTTGCCTTTATCATTCCATGAGGCCTTGACTACGTCGACTACCATGACTGCGTCGATTTTTGTACATAGATGAGAGAACAAATTAAAGGAGCAAAATCAAGAAGTTTCCACTGCATTTGGCATGCACAGAAGACTCGAACAGCTTTTATTGAGCTGAAAGCGCATTGTCTTGAAAAAAGGGACTATTGTTTGAAAGGGTATTTACCCTATATAATGACCTACGCACACTTTTTTTACATATCGGTTTTTTGGATTTTAAAGCACAGTCAAATATACCTTGGTAAACTACCTTAATACACTACCACGGCTAGTACTCAGCACGTGATGGGACTGATGATACATCAAAAAATTGAGTCCGTAGGACGTGAGGTCTAGTAAACGCGCGCAGTACTTAAAATATGGTTCATTCTCATAGGATGCATTTGGTCTTGTTTTGTAACGGGTAAAGGACTAATATATTGAGTAAATTGAATACAATATGTACAATTGTACAAAACTCATATACACCTTGGTGGCATTGTGTTTATCCAAGATATCAAATTATCTATGTACATATGAAATCTACGAACTTCAAAAAAGGAGAGATCCGAGCTACACACCCGCTGCTAGCCGCACGTCAGATTGAATACAGTTTTTTAAGTGATGTTCAAACATGTATAATTACAATAGTCTAAACAGAATTAAGTGTAAATATATTTACTCTCGATATAGCAGAGCGAATCAATAGTGTTAATTACTCTAGGGCTCGCAGTCCCGCTTCGTACCAAGAAAACAGTGTAGTCTGATTGACGATATATTTGCGCAAACCATGAAGCAGGTTTGGTGGGACGGTGGCGTCAAATTGCTATACGAAAAACAGCAAGTGGCGAGATGACATGCTTATATGAAGCTTAATGCAGTCACTATCCCGAATCAGTACCCGCCACAAGGTTGATGGTCGTGATCAACCATTGACGGTAGACGGCAATATCCTAAACTGTGATAAGTACTCCAAGTGAAATTCTCTCGAAGCGGTGGATTATGCAACAGGGACTATATACGGCACAAGAGACGCTCAATAGTTTTGTGACACAGCTAATTATGCAACATCTAAGCTACTTACAAACTATATTGATGGAAAACCACATTGATTATTTGTAAGCGGTGCCCGAGGTATTCTTGCGTGGGTTATTTGCAATAAAGACAAGTCTTGGCACCAACAAAATCATTTTGTGGGTTGCGTCATTGAGAAGCAGGGCCCGCGATCAGATATTGTGAAACTATATGTAAACTGGCTAGTACTTCGGGTCCCGATGGAATTGATGTAGTGGTTTGGCCTGATCATAAATTCGTGCGGCGCAAACCACGTCGATATGGCGAGACCCCACGTCAGTTGGGGTGCGGCTGAAGAGGGGTATAAAAAAGCTTGATGTCTGCTCTTATTTTGGCTTTATCATATGCAGTCATACCACAAGGCTCGAAACAGTTAAGCCTTTGCAACGACCTGTAGTTTTGCTCTAAATAGTGCTTTGGTAATGAAAACGTGATCGCATTTGAGTTTTGTCATCTGGAGCAGCTGAAAAGAACAACCCATTTCATGACAAGAAAATGTTTGCGAAGAAGTATGCCCTTGTAATATTCAGGGTGCCCTGCTGGGCCCTAAGCCTGTTGTAAGTTACAAAAATAATGCGTCGCTGCGCACAGCAATGTCGCCATAAGATCTCCTAAAGAGAATGGCGAAATGGATATCCTTCATTGTCGAGTATACCTTTGCTACAGAGTATATTCCGGATCGGCTTTAAGTAGTTGTTGATGAGCTTTAGCATCGCCTTGACTATGAAACGTCGCGGTGACTTCAGCAATTTATAAGGCGAAACATACAGCGTTCGACTCAGACGCAACATGTGAAAGCTTTGCAAGCTAGGTGGTTAAGAACTCAAATTTTGCTTGGCGAAGCGTGCAGATGCAAGCCTATCTTAAAATGCTTTGTCTCGTACCATAGCACAGACCCATATAAATTCAGTGTGTTATAACGCCTTATGATGGGATTAGCAAGAACAGGTGACTGTACGAGGCACATAATATCCCTGTTGTGATCTCCTTGGAAAAGAGAAGGCACTCTGCTCGGTAAGTACACGAGGCATGTATTAGAAAAACAGCACAAATGTGCGCATTTGTGGAACGTGTCAACGGGTAAAGCTCTCACAGCATATGATGTTGTAGTCTTTTTTACCCTCTGAGCGCAAGGGCTCACTACGCTGTTGTTAGCGATAATGTGATCGATGGGTTTACAGTTAAGCTGCATATTGACAAAGTGTATTCCCAACATGACTTGAAGGTACTTATTGTATCGGATAGAAATCCGTGCAGGTTCAATTAATTCATTTTAGGTGCTTGGCACCAGATTCGATCCGTCATCATAGTTCATCTGAAAAGAGATGGTCAAAGAAGACGCGTTAATAGCGTGTTGTGGAGGATTTCCTCAAGAGCACTAGTTCTCAGAGACTGCATTATTGTGTTATTGTGGTATTTGCATTCAACCATTGATTCGCGCTGAAAAACTCTAAAGGATTCACCACATTTTACACGATTGATATTATAACCGTTACGTTGCTTGGACATCTTCACAAAGTGTTTACTGGGCTGTGATAAAAACCAGCTGGCTGATATCAGTCTGGCTATACTCGTAGCAAAATCGATGATAAGGTAGCATCATACGCATATTACAACGCTATGGCTAAGAGCCGAGACCAAAAAAAGTAACACGCCAATGCCAGAGGCTGGTTTACTCACACGAACATAGTTTTCGGCAATATTTTGATTTACATTTTATTTATCTATCTAGACGTGCAGTTTCGGCCACACTACATCGAATCTCGCACCGTCGTATCAGAAAAGGAATAACGTTATACGTTGAATATCTTGAATAAAATACGAGCGCAGCCAGCGTTCTATGTGAGTTTACTAAAGCCATCCACAATCCTGATTACGAGCCAGTCGCACATGAAGGGCTTTTTATTTCGGAGCAGCGTCTCTACCATACTCTTCAGATGCGATACTCTCTGCTCCAAAGCAACACAGCGATGAGGAAACTTAGGTTGCTAGTCCTGGACCGGTATGTTCACAGCCTTGAACGTACCGTGAGCAAGCCCTGAACAGGAGATTTCTCCAGCCTCTGACGCATGCTGTGATTGATTCTAGGAGAGAGTCGAAGTGCCATTAGAGCCCACGAAGGCCAGTTACCGGGTGTCAACATCTGCCTTGTACTGCACAATGAGCAAGGGTCAGTCCATCCAGAATGGAATGTTCGCCGGGCAGGCAGTTATGCACGGACTGTAATAAGTACCTTATGAAGTGGATGGATTACGCTCAGCCTGAAAACTTACGGGACCTTACTTCGACAATATTTCCCTGGTGCAGTACCTGTTTATAACTTGACGCACCCTCGACCTTCGTTTCCCTTGGAATAGAGGCAGGATCGCCTGTCGTAGCGAACTTTTTATTAGTGGGAGGTTATTAACCTTGCGACAATTTAGGTACTTGATTGGCAGCTGTGACAGACATTTCATGAAGACGACAGCTAGGCAGCAGAAGCTATAAGTGGTTGCTTGCCACACCAACCTCCGTGCCGTGATCAAAGGTTGAGAAGTCAAACATGAGACTACGCTCGATGCGCAACCCCTTTTCTTTAAGATGATTCTTAAAGCTTTGTGATGGGTGAGGCGATGTGTTTTTTGCAACCAATGTGAAAACTGAATCATGTACCCAGATGCATTTTCGCCGGCTTCTGGTATTCAATTTGTATCCCGCACGACAGGTACGAGTTTCCCCAGCCGCTTCTGCTCCAACTACTTTTGGGAGTGATTATCTGTCGGCTGAGAATATACTAGCGAAGCGACCTTTTTCACTTTTATTGAGCAGAAAGACCGCACTCATATGAGTGCAGGAGCTCTCAAACCTGACGGGCCTGAGATTTCAGACAATTCAGAACAATATTCACGACGTGATTTGGACAAGATCCGGTGAGAAATTTGAGCTTGCAGTAAGTCAAGATAGGAGTCTCGAGCCATGTTCAGCTTGTTGTAATCGAACCGAACATTGGCGTGGACTTCATAGCGGAATGTCAAAAAAATCCCGCCGATGGAAAAAGGGCATTGACTCCAAGATCTGTGTAGCGGAAAGGCAGAGTGCGGTCAGTGCATCTTCCTAGTAGAACGACTGGATCATCTAACGCTGGGTAAGAGCGGAGAGGTTTGGTCGGGACTTAATGAGTTACTAAGAAAATTATCAAAATGTACCCTGGCATCCTCGTCATTATTTTGTATAAGCGGTTTGATCGCGACGACAACACTGCAAGCAGGGACAGACAGATATTTTTGGCCGGTGCACGGGAGCGAACCCCGTATATGTAAGCCTAGAAGAGCAGTCAATATAGATCAGAGAGTGGATTGAAGCTTCAGAGAGAGTAATTGCTGGTAGTTTTCGCGCAGGGCTCAAGAAAGACAAAGCAAGTGTGAGCCCCAGTATGGTTATCCAATAACCACTTACCATTTATATTGGTACAATATAAACAGTAAAATCAAACAAAATTTGTATTTACTTGGTGTAATTACAAACATATCATGCGTACCGATTTTGTTCACATGGAGGTTATCATGCTTAAAAAAGGGGGCCGGAGGTCAACGTGGACTGCTAGTTGCACATCAGATGAGAGCGCAGCTTTATGTGAGGGGTAGTGAACGTATATAAGTTGTGAAGTCTGAATAGAATTGATCTTAAATATGTGTTCTTGAACGAACAGAGCGAAACACTACTTTAGAGGTCCTCGGTTCTGTTCCTGGCACGAGCGCACGAACACGTCCGTGTAACCCATCTGCGGGTTTGTTGATACAGACGCTTGATTCAAAGCTTACTCTGGGCAAAAAGCATAGATGCGGTTCTGAGCCAGCTGTATTTCGAAATTAAACGTATTAATTCGAGAAAGCTTGAGCACTAGCTTTTCGAGAAGCTCTCGGTCCTACGCCTTGGCGACAATGAGTGAGACCTCCCCTAATGCGTTGGTTAACGATAAAATTTCTTAATGTTGGGTGTGCGATGTTTATCTTAACAAACATCACATGTAACCTTTCCATTTCACGATAACGTCGTGTGCTGGGTGGCTGTTTTTCAGACTTCGAGTTTTCGCATTGCGTTGGCATAGTAGACGAAAGTGTGTTGCCGCTTGCTGTCAGTCCACTACAAATGGTTAGAATTGTTACACCCATAAAGACGGAAATGCTTGATGTTCTGCGACGTAGTATTTTATTCACAATGTTCTCTTTAAGTACGCTTGGTTTGAACAATGCTATACAATTGTAAGAATTTCAAATTGCACTTTTGTGCGATAGTAAATATAGATAAGTGTTACGGGATTACACGCAACCAGAGTGTAACGGAATTTCTCGTACCCTTGTAGGAAAGGGGCGGGTTACAAACGATGATGTAACCGAACATAGGTAGAATTACATAAGTTGGTTTAACACAGAATGGTGTAGCTACTCCGTAAGAAGCGCCACTAACGTGGCAGGATTGCCAGTAGCAATTCATATTTTTTTGGCTTTACAACATTAATTAGGTCTTGCTATATTAATTAGAAAAACGCTAGGTTTTTGATATTGGCCGCTCTGCCGCAACTAAAACAATCAAATACAGATTCAATTCTGAGCGGAAGAGCGCCTCTACCTTGTCTGGCGCCTTAAGTATTACCTGGAGGTAGCGTATTGCGATACTCCACACTTACACTGGTTCTTGTAAGGAACGTAAGGTCGGTGATCTTGGCTTAGCTTCCACTCAGCAGATAGCTACGGCAGCCCCCACTGCAATAAGTACCGATACTTCGAAAATGATGAAACACATGCGTACGTCGAATAATAACGCGAGCTATTTGAGAGATTGTAAAGCAAATATATCTAGTATTGGTCAAAATATTGTGAGTTCTAAATTTATGTGGTTTTGTAACTCCCAAGCTTGAAGGTCGCACGTAATTGGGCAGTACATCGGTAGAAGTAAGATTGTCAACTTAGAAAGATCTCAAAACGACATATATCGTAGTGTTCGCATTGTCTATCCAGTGGTATCGGGAGCGTTTTCGAAGCTTCACCCGCACCTTGATTGCAAGTTGCTCCAAATCGTGATCAGAAGCATTCATCTCAGCCACTTTCAGCTGGTGAGACTCAAACACGACCACACATTCATGTTCATTGATATCAGCTTTGAGTAGAGCACAACGTACGACAAAAGCAGGAATGTCACAAACGATACAAAATGGCCGACTGGGAGTCAAAAAGGCAGGAATTGGGGCACGCACGAGGCTATCTCTCACAGTCTAGAATGCCACCTCTTCTGACGCACCCCAGCATCATTTGATATACAGTTTAATGGAAGCGATAAGGATTCGTCATGTTTTTAAAGAACCTGTACAATGGATGTCCAGGCTGTGCCTTTTCCGTTAGCCCTTTTTGGAACAGAAACACCACCCAATTTAATTGGCCTTAATCTCTGCAAAATTTACCCACAGGTCATGATCCGCTATGAAGTGAACCAGACAGGAGACTCTGTCGGCGTCATAAACACCTACATTTTGGATAGTAGCCTCGATAGGCGCATACATCCGAGCATCGCTGGTAAGTGCTCGATATGATTTTTAAAATTCGACTGTCTTTGCACTGTTTGGCCGCGGACGCATATAACGTCGAGCTTGTATATGATTAGGTACAATGTGGTCAAAATGGTTATTTTTTCCATCAGACGATTGAACGTCGTTGGTGCATTAAATAGTCTCTACGGCAAAACTAGTAAATTCCAGAGAACTTGCTCTTGGTGCATACCACAGGGAAAGCGATATCGCTGTCTTTCATCAGCAGTTGACGCTATTCACTCATTCGATTTTATCTTATCCTGATACCGTGAGTCACACCCGCTCGTGATCTTTAAATCCTGATTACGCCTATAAACAACATCGCTTTCAAATGGATACATCTCTATGATCTGCACAAGAGTAATCGCGATTTTTTTCTGCATCAAATACGCTCTGCTTCCTGACACTGGTGAATTTATGACTCGCTCAAGCTCCATCAGGAGAGAAGTGTATGACACCTCACTCTTTTTACATCAAATCTATTAATGGCTTGTGGCGTTTAAGCCTCTTCTTGTATTGGATGAGCTCCAATTTTAAGAATTCAGGTCCAGGACGAGACGGCGCTCCACGCTCTCAAAGTCTGCAAACTATCTCAAGGCACATCACTCAATCTATTACTAGCGTCCAGTCTCAAGACGCACGGAAATCGTATCTATATTTGGTATCCTTAATGCCTCCGCGAGCTGCCAAATGACAGTGTCATGTCGTACGTGACTGCACGGTGCACCTAAATCTGACTTTTAAAGGCTCACATAGCAAGGGACGTTGTCATTGACGACTAGCAACACTGGGCAATGGGCCTGAGTCGTTTTCTTAGGAATAACTCTCATTGTACAGCTTCTCCACAAGGTCCGAGAGAACCCCTTTAAGTCCCAGCAGGGCATCAGCTTCAACTGAGTTCCGACCTTTCCCGCTATGTGTTTGTCGGAATCCTTAGCGTGGGTGTCCGACCCTCCGCTCTTTTCAGCAAAATGCGATTAGTCCTGCAAGGCGCAAATGTTTAGTGCTCGTATGGATCAGCCATCTACGAAAACCACTACGTTGCTCAACAGAAAACACTCTTTCTTTTTTTCTCGACTCAGCTGGCTTTCATCGCCTTTAGCACGCCCAAAACCCAGCCACTTAAATTGCACAATCCGGCCATCGCGGCATGGGAGTTAAATACCGCTGGTAATGCAATATTTCGCAGTTTTTCGGAAAAGTTATTGGTGGGCGCCGATGACCTCAGTGGAAGCCACGCCCGTTTGGAAGCCATCCATAAAGATAGCAGCACTTATCACCGTTGGTACCAGGCGTGGCGTCTTTGCGGCAGCTAGAGCTTTAGCTTCTGGCCACTTTTCGCCAGATCCCGCCTCCTCTGATCGGTAGACAAAAGTTGATATGCCTGGCTTGGCGGGACGAACACGCTCAACACCAGTCTTTTTAAATACCTTCATGTTGAAATTGCTTCTTATGCCGAGATACTGCAAGTGAGTGTCCATTTCCGCTCTCGCCCTTTTTGACGCGCTATCGCTACGTGTGAGGCGTGGTCAATTGGTTGACCATATAGATGTCGCGTCTAGAAGAAATGACTGGCTGGAATTTCAACACCAATTTGCATCAATGCAGAAATTATCTGCTTATCGGCACCCGGTTTGAGCACTCCATAAATATCCCACCACCATATTCTCAGGGCTGATCATCACCTTTAAGTGAGTGATTGCCGTATTCGATTCTCTTACCGTCGGTTCTTCGATCCCATCGAAATTAACGCTGAGCATGGTCTAGTTATTTCAAGGGTTTATAAATGAACGACTTTTGATTTATCCTCGCCATATACATTCTTTAAATGACTCAGTCGTCAGATTTACTAAGTGCAGCCAAGTGCAACGAGAATGTTGTGTACCTTGCACAAATAGTATTCGACTTATTGACGCTGTGTATACAATGCACAGAGGTTGGTTTCGTCTGCGTCTTCCAGGAAAGATCCCCAAAGAATCTCACTCTGCTATTTCAAGAGTACATATATTTAAGTCCATTCCTATTTAGCCAAATAATTTTTTTCTTTGCGATAAGATCGTTTCTTTTGTCTGACGTTCGTAGCTCACGCGTACGCTGGTGTTCTTTATAAGTTCAATTCATCTTCGAAATATCGACACTTCGTTAATAATATATGCACAAAATTTTCAAAATAGTGCGTTGTGATTCGTACCAAGTTTGAATACTGATAAGGTGTATGCACACAAAGTAACTGTATATTTTCTGTTAAGACCCCCACTAGACTGTAGAACATACTCGGGCTCACGCTTCTTTTGATAGTTCTCATCGGAAAACCCTTGTATCCATCACCAAGAGTGTTTTGTCAGTCAGTCGCGAGGATTTTTCTGAAGCTACAGGAGAAGACTCCTTGAGCAAGAATACTCGAAAAGGCAAACTGTGGAGTTAGACTCGATGCGATACAGTTGCTCTTGGAGTGATTCCTTTTGTGCTGAGTACAAAAAATGATGCAGACTGTCCGGCACGTTTTCATAGTGCCACTTGACTTTGGCCCAGATCACTATAGCTAGCCGTAGTGATTTTCCGAGTCCTTATTAAACATCTTCGTCGCCACCCAGAAAACACGTCCCAACCGTTCTAAGGCGGAGGCACTCACTGTGCTTTGCCTCCGCGAGTCAGTACTCCAAGCCTCTTTAACACCGCAACGTGCTACGACCCTTCATCTTGGATCTCACGATGATATCCAACTCGTTGGTGATGAGATGAATATGGATCAGGAAATCAAGCAACGGCATGTGTGAAAGTCACGCCGACTAGGAAGTATGCTTTAAAATCGTTTTAATCTCCCAGAGATGCTCGCCACATTGATGCAGAGCCCTTTAACGGGTTTTCGTGAGATCGCTCGATCACGCCAGAGCCAAACGAGCTCTAGAAAGTCTTCCAACAAACACACTTCTTCATTCATTCCATATACAAGCAGACGTTTTTGGTGGTTTCGAATTATCACTTCCCGAAGTATTGATTGTACTTAAACCATAAGTGGTCAATTAAACACGTAACCGTCATGAGGGGTGTACAGTAAAAACTTTAATCTAGCAAATGTGCCAATGTATGCGAAGAAGACCTTGAGGTGAAAATCATCACCTCAAATATCGCTATTTATAGCCCCGCTCGGTCCGATGAGCTAGCAGTAACAACTACAGACCACGATTCTTTGTCATTGCAAGATCGATCGCCACTCGCTAGTGGGAGTGCGCTACGCTAAGCGCCCCTGCCTCTGCTCTAACAAAGATAAATGCCGAGGGTAGCCTTGGCGTCGGCAACGACAAAACCAGAGCAAGATTGCCAAGATGGGAACCAAATTCCATGACTTTCTTATTAAGGGTATCCCTACTACTTTATCATTGACTGATACAGCCCCGGTATATTCACCTATGCACTTAACGCTTCACCTAAACGCTGGTTACCTCTAGTTCATAGCATAAATGCCAGCTGTGGTCGACTCTCCTACACCTGGTTATCGTGCGCTCTCTCGATTGTAGTGGCACGTCAATCCTATCCTAGAGATCTGGCGTGCATTAGCGCGAAGATGAGTCAGATCATGGTTTTGCTCTCTAAGTTTCGCGCTCGTACTAGTACTTTCAGCAGCTCAGAAAAGCATTGCTGTTTGGAGCACAGAGATGCTTAGCCTCAGGGAATAGTAGAGGCATTAATCATCTACAGCAACACATATATCCTTCGACTGATCCGTTAGAGCGAGGTAGTGGTACGTCTTCAATAAGCCTTCGTAAGGCACAGGATCGGATTGCATTTTGTCTTGAATGTTATGGGTACAGCACAATTCGTATACGCTTCGACTGCGATCAGTCGAACGTAGCGCAGTACAATTTAATATTTTAGACCGCACACATTGTATGTGTAAGTACGTTAATTGGACTCAATACAACTTCACACCACAGCATTTTCGGGTGTATATCACCTGCGCCGGCATCGACGTTTTTATTATGTTTGACAGGTCTCGCAGTCATGTCGTTGCGCACTTGCGCACGACGCTCATACTTATCGAGATAAGATTGCGCATATTGCTAAGAAGTGTAGGCGAGCTGTTATTTGATATACATTTTTGACGGACATCCCCTCAGCATGAAGCCACTCCGTGGCGACATCGAGCGCAAGAATAAAATGATTTGTGTATTCTTGGGTAAGTCTGTCGAAGAATATACTCCGTTACTCAACAGATACTCTATCAAAAGAAGCATATGAATCTAGCACCGCGGCATCTCTGCATATGTGCTACGGATAAATTTCACCACTACGCAATTAACTCGTTATCTCAGACCATATTTTGCGGATTGTCAGAGTTTGACGTGTTCAATCCGGTGCCCAGCATAAAGAACACTTATTTGTAAAGCTCTTATCTCTATTGATACAAAGGGTATAGGCAAGCCGTGTTGTTGAAACACTTTTCGAAAGACAGCTTAGTAATATCCACACCTGTCAAAGTATCGCCGACAGTAGAGATATGAAACTACACGGCTTTTACAGAATCGATACTTTGTCCATTAAAACCAAACGATTGTCATCACTCTGCCGCAACCGCCAGGCTAATCAAAGGTGCCGCCGCATGCAGTGAGGATCTAACCCACAGACACGTTTCACATGTGCAGTTTTGTGCTTGACTACTTATACTGGTTGGATCTCCAATACATAGCGCTCACCGAGCAGTATGTCTTCCTTCAGGTTACCATCTAAATGGGTACCATGTGCCTCGTACAGTATTTCGTACTTGGTACAAGGCCTTCAACGTGATCCACCATGTGTCACCAGAGTTCATGCTGTAAGATAGCAAAATCATGGGATAAAGCCTGGCGCGCTTTTGATATATCAAACTTGTTGCTTCCCAGATGTTTAAGCAACGTAACGAATATTGCGTCTGTCCCATACGCTGTACACTACCTCCACAATTGGCGTTGCCACCGTCGTGGTGCAAGACAAGCCATATTCAGGGCGACTCGAAAGCGAATCCGGCACCACATTAAGCTGACTCGGCTTGTATTTCAGGTCACAGGTATGAAATCAGCAATGAATGATTTCCCCCTATAGATTATAGAACAGAATGTGTTGACGACGTTACTACATTCAACAACTCATGATCTAAATCTATTACAAACGGTGGGATGTTGCACACAGTGATATTGTCATCACATCTCGTTCGAAAAAAGAAAAAATAGCTATTCTTCTTTGCTAATTATCCTTCGGATTTCATCATGCGCCTGGTCAATTTATGTGATGATGGAAGCGCCATCTGACAGCCCCCACTATGAGCTGTCAAGATTTACAAAGGAAACGTCACTGCTTGTGATACGTGTGGCGTGCGAATTGATGCACCATGCGCTGCGTTGCTGGATGCTTGATGAAGCGAGACGTTTGGAAGCTCAGATGCCACTGAATTTGAAGTGCTCGGATGCAATTTTGCACATTTTTCTTAGATCCGGGACTTACTGGTTTAGAGCACTAATTCATGTGTGGTCGTAACTCACTATTATGACCTCAAATACAAATCCAGTATTCAGCACGTGATACTAGTTAAGTAGCCATCTCGGGAGAGTAGTGACATACCGATCACAGTACGCGACGTACATGTAGATCAGCATATCAAAGTTTGTAATCTCATCTGTAAGCACTTGTGAAACATGTTAACGAGTTACTTATCGCCGCATGCCTCAGCACTTTCGGCCAGCCCGCTGGTTTTGACGAGTGCTGGCAGCTCAACAGTATGAATCTGGTCTCAGAATTACGATATATTCGCTCAGCGATACCGTCATCGTGGTTTTACTTGTCCGTATCAGCAAATTGGGTCGTTCGGCTGATCCGTTTCCAGCAAGATTTATTCAAGCTGTTCCTAGGCAAAGTTTTGCGCCAACATGGCTTGCCGGTTACTATTATGTTAAGCGACGAAATGCGCTTGGAAGGAAGACTGTGGCAAACTTTGTTTTGTGAGCCAAGTATCATACTGAACGTGTTCATAGATGATAATCTCGTATTTGATGTTAAATAAAATCCATCTCCGCGAGGTTCAAAATAGCATCCAAAGTACTTGCGCGCAGGGATCGCGTTGCTACAGCACATTACTTTTCTTATTGAGTTTGCGATAAGTTATGCAGTGCATGCCGCTGTTAGAATCATTTCGCTATTCCTAACGTTTCTTATTACAGCTCCGCTTTCGTTTTGGTGGGGGAAACGTTTACACATTCGAATGATCGATATCAGTGCGGCTACACCTTGCTGAGAAAGCACTAATCTTATTCGAATGAGATTGAACAAGCTTACGCCAAACAAAGCACGCATGATTAGTCAGAGAAAAAAACGTTCAAATAAAAATCTGCTTATCTACTAACCAAAGAAGAGCGGTATCCAAGACTAAGCTGCGTCCACACCGCATCGAACCGTTCACGGCTGTAGAATAAAAGTATTTAGTTTTTTGCAATGACACGTGAATGGGAATGTGAACACACCCTGTGTTCTGCGTGGGCTTGCTCAAGCCACTCATGATCTTGACCTTACGAGCTAGTCGGATGTAGAGCGCTTTGTTCGAGATAGTGCAGCGTAAACCATCCCAAGTAGCATCGCTATTTTCTGCTCTAGAGCAGAGACACGGTTATGAGCAGCTGGAATCTCGGTGCGATTGCGTAACTCAGAGAGCACATCCGCAAAATGTCTTATCTAAATATCCGTTGCTTCTTAGGCAAGGGTTGCCGCTTTCAAAGTGGAGCAGACATGAGAATTGAAGTTCTGACTTTGACGCTGTTTCCTCGCTGACATTACCGCGTAAACCCCCTTGCGCACAATTCGGCTTAACTCTTCTTTGGAGAAAAGGCATGGTTGATCGGCGCACAATGCTTCCTATTAGCGAGTTGTGGTTGACCTTGTTCCATTATTGGAACTTGGTCGGTAGCTCATAAGAAATGAGCAAGTCTAATAGCAACAAGGTGATAAGGCTTCACCTCGATGTTCTTATTATGTTTCCAACCATAATCATACATTAAAACGCTTTTTTGACGGAAGTTTGCTTTACGAATGCCGACTTGCCAATCGTTAGCTGAGTAGGCAGGGTGTCTTGTGCACCCATTAGATACGTAAGCACGATTCCAGCTCTCAGGTCATCATCAAGTATCCAAGGCACAGTCTCTTGGAGAGCAATGAGCTTCCGACTGCTTATGCTTTTATTGCAGGCAGTATTCTCAGGATATGTGACCTGTGAAATCGCTCAGTGTTCGTGGAGCAACGTGCGGGCTTTTGCTGTCTATTTGAGCGGAAGGCCGGTACTTAAAAGCGCGTAAGCCCCTTCGGTTCAACAAGCAACATCGTATAGATTATAATGAACTGAATCAATAAACGTGAATCTGTCGAGTTTGTTCAGCTTGTTATGACTCTTGGGCTGTAGACGAGCCACGCTAGATGATGTGAGCCAAATTCACCTCATAGGTGAGAAGCTGGAGAAGCTGGACGCCATCTTGTTTTCGTGGGAGTTTTTTACTCGAGGTGAGTGGTCACAGAGTTCATAACTCTTGTAGAGGGGAAGTAAAGCATACAGACCGCCTTGTCTCCAATATCGCTTCTCTTAAGGTGGGGGCAGATGTGTCAGATTAGGACACGAAGCGTTACTGCGACTACTCTTGTCGGAGAGCACCATGATCTTCCCACAAAAATGATTAAAATCGTCAGGCACTCAGACTGCACCGTACTTGGAGGATCGCTGAGCCTTATGGTATTCGGACCAGGTGAGGACCTTTGATGCGGAGATGGTTTTAAATGCAAGCACTGGAGGGTAGAAGGAGAAATGTAAAACTTCGAGTACAATGGATGATTTTTTAGCGTTCACTTTTGTGCAAAGTTTATATTAACATATCACTTCTTGGCGTAATGGGTGCAACGAATATTCAATTGTGTATATACACTAATGTATAAAATTTGCGCTCACTTTTCTATTACGTCAAGCGATACCGTTTTTAATAAATATCTTGTAGCATATATATTGGGCATTGGCTAATTTATAGCAAATCTTGATTCAATTCAATGTCGAAATAGCGGAGCGAAAAAGAAAGATAATCACTTATAACGCTCTCAATTTCACTCTCCAGATTCTGTGCGTTGAACTCATTAAAAGGCCGTCTCGTTGGAGAGAGGTATATGAATTGGTGTACACTATGAACGGGTGTCCCACAACAGAAAACATCCAATAAGTAGTCACCTTCGCACCCGTACAACGTGTAAAATTGCACGGCCCCGACGAATGATCCGAGAGTAAAGTTATTTGTCCACACCAGTAAAGTAATAGTATATATTGATATGAGGCTTTTTGTCGGTACTATTTGTAAGGCCCACCTTGTACCTTATCTTGCTGCTGCCAGCGGCGCTAACGCTGGTAGAAATTTAGCAAATCTGTATCTCAACAAATTCCTTTGTTTATACAACCTGCCTGTAGTGGCTGTCTCTTCAAGCTTTACAGCCAGATTGCAGCGCTTTAGGTGCTAGAAGCTGACCGTCCATAGAGCGATAATCAAACGGAACGCAAAAATCGCGCGGTAAGGGTTTCCATTGAAGCTTGGCGCTGAACGATAGCGGTTCCAAATAGATACTTTACTCGATGAACTCAAGTTGAACAGTGCTGTTTATATCTCCACTCTTTTTCATATGGCCCAATAAAGCCTCGTGTGTTCTTGACGCCACCCCTCAGTGGTTTCAATTTGGTGGGGAGAAGAGAAGAGAGGGGTCCGTGTGACACATAGGTCTTTGATCTCAATGATGGCAAAAAAGGTATATATGATATCATCCTGAACTAGACTATGATATATATAACTAGACAAAAAGATGATCAACAAAAGCATTTAAATTTTATCAAAATCAATTTCTTCGTTTAGGTGTAGAAAGCATCTGCCGTTGTTTACTTGGATTCGTAGAGTCAACACTAAATCTCAGCAAAGAGCACGGCAGCTATGTTGTATTTGGCAGTTTTTTTATCAATTCAACGACCAAGTATGAAATCATTCCAAATTTCCGTGATAATGGCACACAAGCGGCTCAAAATTCTGATCTCAAAACACCTAGGCATGCCTTTTAAGCTAGTCTCTTTCATAGCTCTCATAAGGGATAACGCAGTTAGCACCGTATGGCCGAGACCGATAATGGCTCATCTAAAGGAGGTCATTAACAAAGGAAATGCATTGGTGAGACACCTCCATGAAGGTTTCACCAATCGTCGGCAAAAATGCAACTAGATCTCGTCGCGTGACCTCACATACTTAGCTTTCAGACTTATGAGAGTAGGTAGAGGAGAAATCTCTACCTCTGAAAAAAAACTATCGAGAAAGTTCCAGATAGCGACTAAAGCTCGAATCAAAGGAGATGCTGTTGCGCTGGCGGTCCCCAAGATATGAGGCCGCTTGCAGTAGTGCACCCGAACGTGCATGATGTATTAAGAAGAGGTGTTTCAATATTAAAGGTAAGGATGCTTCGTAGGTTACGGGAGTTCGCACCGTTGGACCAGGTGCACCATGTAAACGCCCAGCACTCCCACCTATTGTTCTAGAGGGAGATAATTAGCGGGCTACATCCAAGAGTTGCTGAGTCATCGATGTAATGCGGCAGGCCCTCTTGTAACATTACCATCGTCATGGACGATTTTCGAACAAATGCGACTCACACCGAGATTTTCCTTGTCCACCAAACAACTTTGAGATGCAAAGCACAAATAGTGCGTGGGAGATGAAGGATCTATGATTACGTCAGAAGCAGTAGACTCTTACTAGCCGCGCCGTGATAGGACAGATTTGTTGGATCTGAGTCATTCTAAGGAACAGTGTGCGATCACTATTTCCTGGGGAACATCGATGAGGTCGCAGATGTTATATCTAAAAACATCTGCGCCTGCGTGCCACTTTCCTTGTTTGTTGAGAGGTATGAAGGCTCGACCTTCCACGCATTGTTGACCGGTGATCCCCTCGCGGGACAACGCGGAGCTAAATTAGGAGCAGGGCGGCCTCTTGGATAGAGCTCGATTCTTGTGTACCTCGTGAAGGAATATGACTCCTTCTTAATGGGAGCTTATCCCCCCTACGAGAGTCAGCGCGCAGATAAACCCTACTAGGACTGTTGTTTATCAACATGAACTCCCGGGGTAAGTGTAACCATGGAAAGTCCTGATACATTCAGAAGCGCCATAGAGTTTTGCTCAACGCGATGTAGGAAGTTGACATTATCAAGAGGAACTAATAGTGCAGAGTACGGATACCATATCCGTTCGACTCGCGATTAGAGAATGTCGATGATCCTAAAACTATTTATATAGATTATTCGAGTATTTGGTACTGTCGAGCGTTATTTGGTCTTGTATCTGCATAGAAATGGCATGGCCGTAGTGCCATAAGCCAGGAAGTGACATGAAGCCACCCACCAGCTTTGGTGATCTCGTCACCTGTTGAGGTCTGTTCCGTTACTGAGGACTCTCAGTGCATTGATATCAAGATGTGTAGCACAACTAATTGATATTATTGAGAACATGATGAACGTAACTTCTTAAGTTTTGAGACAATCGGTCAATAATTACTGATCAAAATCTCAGAAGAAGTGTGAGTCGAGGTTTTTCGATGAGACGACCATTTTTTGCGGTCTTATATATTGGTCTCTCACTGTCAAGGTTAAAATTCGAAGCTGTGAGCTGAGGTCACCCAAGACTTCTGATAGTGAAACGTAAAAGGGTCGAGGCCTCCTGGGTATTTTCTGGGCGCAGCTCGAGTTGCGGGTTTCATGAAGCTTATGAAGCCACGCGCGGGTAAAAAGCCGGGCTTCGGTATCGGTAATCCTTGTAAAGATTTGATGGTACCGCAATCACTAAGCGGAGCAGTTGATCTTCACGAGATTGAAAGGAGAAATGTTAAAATTCGTCAATAGATTAGCTGCATTAGACCACTCTCCTTCACTACCCAGGCAATAGCTCTCGTACAGATATATTGTAGTACTGTTAAATAAAGTATTAGAGCTAAAATCGTGGTACCACCACGAATGGATTTGTTATTTTGGACACATTCAGAGGGCTGAATGCTAGGAGTGAGACAGCAATTTAGAGGCTTCTACGGATTCCTCGAATCCTTCGTTGAAAAAAATCACGACGTGGTGACATAAGAGTTGCCGTGTTGTTGCTGTTACATTGGGAAGTTGTCATGATTATGACGTGATTTCTGAAACTAAATTTGGGATAACGGAGATAGTGCTATATTGCAGACCATTTCTTCAATGGTGAAGCTCATACAGCAGGTCTGGCGATAGATAGTCAAACTTCAACCGACTACCTGCGTCAGCAAGGATCGCGATCTGCACCAATACAGAAGAAAACATCTCCAATTTTGGTCTGTTAACATACACGATACGGTCTAAATATCTGTTTCACGAGACAATTGAGCGCTACTCGTGCGTCGGACAAACGCTGGAGCAAAGAAAGACACTTCCATACCATCGTACTAGGAAATTATGCAACAGTGGTGGGGCTATCACTTACCTGAACGGATAGGATAGAATTCATCGACAAAAACGATTTTGGTGAACAGAGTACAACATAATACTGTGATCCAGTCGTTGCACGATTCTCCTCTTACCAAAGAGAAGACTCATGTTTTGCACAATCGTGCTGTGCTCGAGTATGTGCAACATGCAAATAGGGAAGCCTTTTGTTGATGTGATCTTGGCGTTGTCGGAATCTCTCTTTTGTGATGCTTCCTTTGGAAACATGGTCCTTGGAAGATCTTGCAGAATTTAGGCCGTAGTAGATGGATCAGCGCCATTTTCCAGAGTGATTAACGATGACAGGCTGGTCTATTCAATTAGTGCAAAATATCATTGAATAACACGGCGTTTTACTAATCTTCTTACAAAGGATGTTAGTTGGTGTCGGGGCGCGCGACAGTAGTGGTTTCGTTTCCGGCCGTTTAAGGAAGTCTCATGTGCGCCCCCTATTCTTTCGAATCCGAGCTGGCCATCTTTCCGCCTTTTTCATGTCTGTGTTTTTATTCAAGGTGATGTTGATGGATATGTCACGTTTAAATCTCGCCAACTTTGCAGCTGCGGGTGGGAACTGTATAGCTCGCGAAAAGAGATTACATGGAGTATAATTTTGTCAAGTTATTGGTACACTTTCTCGGCTTCGAACCTTTCCGATCTTCGGATAATGCGAAATCGAATCGACAGTACTTCTTTGCTGAAATCCCTGAGTAGACAATAAATACCACATACATCGGTATTAGTACTTATAACACTGAAATCCTATATAAAGCAAAGTGCCCACTCTATGAAACACCATAACTCCCACAACTTAACACTCGATGACAAATGCCAGTCTGTTGGTGCTCTACGTCCGAGGAACAACAGTAATATTTCTTTAGCTTGGATGGATCGTTTATGGCATTCTGCATACTGCATACTGGCGTTGTGATGAGCTCACGCTCATTTTTGTCGTGTCAAGCGTCCCGATTCGTTTTATCGTTCTGATACCCCAAAATTGAGCAATTCTTAAGAGTAACAAATTCATGTGACAACTGCGATGTCGACACAATGCAGGTACGTTCATTGTAAGCGCTGATGATGTGTCAAAAATCGCGCTATTTTGTCTATCGTTGTATTAATAGTCGGACTCCCGATCATCTGCTCCTTAATCTAAGAATTAGTCTTTCTTCGTTCGTCGAGAGCATTAGGTACAAGTCACAGTTTGCAATCATTTCATTTCGATCATGCCTACGTGATCCGTTTGTCGCCAGCTCGCTGAAAAGTTTTGGCCACGTCGGAATGTTGAGAATTACACACACACATTCCACCAGATTTGTAGTCTTTTCTATATTCTGTAAACCTAGAACTTCTGATCATTTCCTGTCAGATCGCATAAAGCACACCAATGTTATAAGCCCGTTCCGTAAATCTAGTATCCATAACCCTCAATTTCTACAAGAGCACAACCCCAGAAAATCCATCTTCGTTTTTCGGTCGCCACTCGCTTTCTCTGCCTCCACTTGCATTCACTATTACTTAAGTACTCCGGGAAAACTGTGAGCCTAAAATTTAAACGCATAATGTGTGTAAGGCCCTCGAGCGCGCGGTCCGCACGAGTCGAAAAGGCCACTGTCAAGGCTGCTGCGGGAGGTGGCCCGCGTGTCTCGATGGCCATGCGCCCTCGCTCTAGCTCTAACGTATCTACAGCTTCAAGCAGTTGGTCTCCGACCGGCATGAATGTGGCCGCACGCGACACAGTCTCAGGCCGCTGGATTGAAGACGCAGCTGCACGTACATGCGCCAAGTGCGAGCGTAACTTCTCGCTCGTTAATCGCCGCCATCACTGTCGCGTATGCGGTGAGATCTTCTGCCACTCCTGTTCACGTACACGCATGGTGCTAGCAACGAATCCAGGTGAAATTCCACGCCGTCAGCGTGTGTGCGACCCTTGTGCTACCCACGCGCACAGCAGTGCAGTTTTATACGAGGCTGAAGATGCTGCGTTGGGGCCGCGGTTCCGCGCCAAAGCGGACATTGGCGAGACCTCCGTAGTAACAGAGAAAGTGCTGCTGATGAGAAAAGAGGAAGATATTGTGATGAAGACACAGACCAAGAGCACGGACCCAGAAAGTAGTCTTAAATTTATGATGGCCTCTTCCTTAGGCTTCGCGGCAGCATTCTGGTTTCTTAAGGATGAGGTAGCGCTGTCCAACCCCGCTATTTGGATACTCTTGGCTGGTTTTATCAGAAACGTCTACGAGATCGCAATAAGAATTATGGCTTCTCGAAACTTTACAGAAGGCGTGACGAATTTGGAAGATGCCGAAAAGATCTTTAGCGGTATGGACTCAAGCGCTTCGGACGACCTATCCACATCAATCGCCCCCTCAACCTCGTCGGAAAAATCCAAAAAGGATTTATATGCCACAATAAAGATCACACCCGCGCTAAGTGACGAGCTCATTGCCAGCTCGCAAGTTTCCTTAGACAAGGTCTTAGAACTGGCGAATTCCGACGCGACCACGAACTCGGAATGGACAGAAGAAATTCCCACTACAGAAAATGTGACGGTGTACTCTCGCGATGGCAAACCGTCTCGCATTTACAAGTGCGAGGCAGATATTGCCCTATCTCCTGATGAGCTCTTTGACGAATTGTATACGAACCTGGAAACTAGCAAAGTGTGGAATGTGACCGCAGCTGAGAGCAATGTGATTTGCAAACTCGATGAAACGACTGATTTGGTACATTTGATTTCGGCTCCTGCTCTTGGTGGTGTTATATCCAGTCGTGATTTTGTCAATACCCGCACGTGGCGACGACAGGATGGTGGTGGTTATGTGATTGCTAACAGCTATGCTGGAAAGAATGTCTTAAAGCCGCAAAAGGGTATCACTCGTGGAGAAAACGGTCCAACGGGCTGGGTTATCCTGCCGCACCCAACATCTCCGTTTAAGAGCCGTCTGATTTGGATTTTAAACATGGACATCAAGGGTTATTTCCCGTCTAGCGTTATCCGAAAAGGCTCCATTGGTGAGGTCTCTTGCTTTGTGCGCAATCTGCGTCGCTACATCGCTCAAAACAACGCTAGCGGTGAATGCGCCCCTGAGTGCGCTCAAAGTGACGTTGCAAAAGTTTAGCAAAAATGAGAAAGACAAATGATTTCCAGTCTGATATGGAGAGTTGGGCAAGACGAGCGGATTGAACACTCACCACTTGCGCACATCTACCTACAGTTTGGCTTTTTGTCTTTTTCAGTATCTGTTGTCTATTTTTTAGAGTGGGGCTGTTGCGTCCAACGGAAGACTCAACTAATCATCTTGAACCCACAACGACGATCTAGTTAAGGCTAAGCGAGGCGAAATGTGTCACTCCTCCACCGTTGTACCTATAATACTGGAGTTTTTACATTTCCTCAATTTTGGAACAGTGGTAGAATAAATAAGATACTTGTGATGGTAATTAGGAAACGTTCTATCAAAAAAAGATAAAACACTGGCGCTGCACCCCTGACGGCTTCGGTTTAGACTGCCTACAGTAAGCTCCATCCATCGAGGATTAAATTCGGGAATATGACGATAGTTTTGGTTGTCTTACAATGAAATGTAAGGGTTTGAGCGTAATTAGCTCTCAGTGGGTGGTCATAAAAAAGCAACTGTGTAACGGGGATACCTATTGTATTGTGGTGTACGAACATCTTCCTTTGTTGTCCCTGAAATTTCGAGAATTATGAAGGGGCACCACAACTTCATTGCATTTGTTGGCACGTGTCGTCAATTTGACGACTGAGATTGAATAAGACAGAAACTTCTAGTGAGAAATAAAACAATGAGTACTCTTCTATATGTCCTGGGGACACTAGCACCTTTAATAAGCGTGCGCATTTAGCTGGTCCCGAGGGAAAACGCAATAGGCGGCCCAAGGAACGAAAGCATTTCTTGCTTTGATGCGCTCACCAACAACGAGAAACTTGTGAGAAAACGTCAAGGGCGCCCTAACTAGACTTTGATGGATGCACAATTTGCACCCACCGTGAGGCCGCTTACAGAAGGCGTCTTGCTCTTCGAGGTAGACAAGGACAGGTTAAATGTTGAGGCTGATATGGCGATGAAAAAAAACAGCCATCTTTCAGACAATTCAAATAATGCCCATCCTACAGGCAAGGCGTGAATCAACAGATGATGTTGAAAATGTAAAACTTAAACCGGAAATGGCGGTAGACTCTCTCTCAAAGCGGTAAAGGTTACTTAGGTCACGGAGGTCTTCGGACAGTTGCGACTCATTACATTGTCATCCGACTTTTTTCGAAGATGCGGTATGTGTCAAATTAAAATAAAGACAACTTTCGTGCGACGGGCTGACTGAATTGCGAGAAGTTGGTCGCGATGAGCGAACCAGCGACGAAATACCATCAGCTGCGATAAAATGGAAGGATGCGAGTATTTAGTTGCTGACCAAAATTATGGTACTTGGAGATCTAGCATCTGTGGTAGCTCTGAATCTCTGCGCTTAGTGTAACGGGGTTACACATATCCTGGTAACAGGGGTGTGTGTCACACCAGATGGGAATGGTGTGACCACACCCAAACGAAATAGGTACGGGGCTGGATAGCCAGTAGTTATACATGTATTTAGATTTTTCTATATTTATTAAGGAAACTTTTAACGTTAGGATAAATTTACAAAAAATATCTTTTTGAATTTAAACCGAAGAGTCGATTAGCCTTGGGAAGGCAATAATCACTCTTGGAGTAAACGGATTACGATTCGCTAACTCATACTTGGTTCTTGTAAAGAACAAAAGGTCGGTGACCGAAAGTACGCTTCTTCAAACGTTTTGCTACGGTAGCCCCGCTGCACTTGTAATCAATCAACACCTGAGTCATTACGACTGACCCTCTGTGAGGATGAAATAATTGTTCTCTTTGCCCCAGGGCATGCAGACGGGCTTAAAAAGCTGATGTCCTTGCTTGACGCTAAGGGCGTGCAACATCTTGTAGCACTAGGCCCCGAGGCAATCGGTGCACGTCTAGAAGCGTTTTCAAATTACGAACACGCGCTGCTAGAGCACCTGCAGCAGAAGATGTCTGCATCGTTTGCGTCTATGACGCC